CTTAACAGTCATAATCTCAACTTATAATTAGACATGTCCTCAAAATTTCATAATTTTATCATGCATATTCATCAAGTTATGAGAATTTAAATTCAATAGTGAACATAAACTTCATCTTACATGTTCATCTTTAAAAATTCATAACTCAAGCTATATTTTGCCAAATCTCTTAATTCTTGTTTTCATGTACTCCTCTTTTACACAATAATCATTCATTTAAATCATACTCTTCCAGCTTATTCATATCTTTATCAACATCTCATCAAATCAAGTACATATATCATATAATTGATCTTGAACAACTTTAACTCTTTATATTCATAAAATCAATTATAAACTTAACTTCTATATCATGATATACATACTTATAAACATGTAAACTTATTATCAAAACATGAACTTAAGCATGTAACTTTAAGATTAGTAAATTACCTCCTTCTTGCTAGAATAAAAACTTGATTCTTTACTTCAAATTCTTCACTTCTCCAAAGTTTCTACTACTTATCTCTCTTACACTCTTATATAACTTTTGGTACTTAACTTTGGTGCATAAACTCTGATTTTTAGGCCTCTATTTATAGGCACAATTTGCAAGACATCATAATTGAGTGAAGAAATTAACAAAATAAACATTACAAACTTGTAAAAATAAATATAGATAATAAATAGTATTCTTAACTTGTAAACTTCTCCAACCCATAGTCAATGCTTAGAAAGGCCCCTCTTCTGATCCTAATCTGATCTCAATGATTAAATTCGAGATTTAGTGAAAATTCTCCAATTTACGGAACCAAATTCTGACTGAAAACGAACAGTTACCGTAAAAACGAAAATTCTTACAATTTTCGAATTTCCTTCTTTTCTTTTGGCATTTTTCCTTTTTATGCTGTAAAATTTTTCTTATCTTGTAGTCTACTAAAAATATAGAGAGAAAATAATTTAATTTATTTTTCGGAACTGAAATCGGACATATATTCCGACTACAATCGAAAACCGAAAAAAACGAAAATTCTAAAAATTTCATATTTCTCTCTAATAATTTAAATAAACTAAAATGTCTAAATAAATTTTCTCACTTCTTTGAACATTTATAACTTAAATGTTCATGGATACTTAACCGAACTCAAGACCTAACTTGTCTCGACTCATTTTTCTTTTTCTTTCTCATTCAAACTAGAAATGGCCAAATTTACATCCATTTAGCTAAATAAAATGGAATGTTACTTGAACTTGAACTTCATCTTAAATAACTTATTTCAATTTAATAAACATTAATGTCTAATTAATCCTTATAACTTGATCAATACTCAAAACTAAGCTAGGCTCGAGAATCATTTCCTCGGTAATAAACTTAACTCGTAACCGAACATGCTTGGTTCGGTTCACGACTTATCTTGAACGAGTAATCAAAATATACTCGATTTTTATTATTCGTCATCTTATTAAAATTAATCCCATCTTATAAATCCATTTATAAAAATAAACAGACCGGAATTAATTAATTACTGAACTGGCTCGATTACTAAATAAAATTTAACCGATAATACTTTCAACTTAAAGTTGAACTTTTAACTGAATAACTTAATAACTGGGCTCGAAACTAGGAACGAACAGTATTAATAAAAGTAATTAGTTCAAACTTAGAACTAAAATAATTACTTTTATTAATTACTGAATGGGATATTACACTCTGTGAGAAAAAACTCAGGAGCTCAAAGAAACTGTCTGTGGTGGGTAGGGATATATGTGTCCAGGTGGCAAAATGCTTCCACACTCTCCTCACAATCTCACTCTCTACAAAAAGGTGCGTAAAGGTCTCGGTCTCATGGTGTCCAGTCTCAGAACAACACACACATCGAGAGGGGAAGGAGATCCCCCTCGCGTGTAACACAGTGTCCACGGGTATCCGGCGCAAGAGGAGGCGCCAAAGGAAAACGGAAATGGTAAGGGTGAAAAGGTCGCTCCAGATAGCCCCGAAGAGAAGATTAGGCCGATCACTCAGCCTGATCTGCTCCCAAGCCGATGTAGTAGAGAACACACCCGATGATGTGAGTCTCCACCTCATACCATTCGAACCGTCCCCCGAGATAGGGATCTGCTGGATCTGATCTAATAAATGCTCGCTAAAACCTGCACCACAGCCCAACTCCCTATCTAGCTTCTCCCTATCCCACGACCCATCCGTCCAAAGGTCACTCACGAGCAGGTAGGGGGAATGCGACACCTGCCTATCCCTAGGCAACGGCCTATCACCTATCCACCACTCATCCCAGAAACTAACCTCGCCCTCGCCCCAAAACCCAGAAGATGTAATCCTGGGCGCGCCTACCGACCTTAGTGAGGCGCCGCCACTGTCTGCTATCATGATCGACAGCCATCACCCAACAAGGGTGGTTGGCACGTCTAGGGCAGTACTTGCCGCGAAGGTACTGAGCCCAAAGCGACTTTCCCTCCCTGAAGCGCTACCACAGCTTGTAGGAGAAAGCTGTAACAATGTCTCTGAAGCGGCGGATGCCGAGGACACCCTCAGAGAGGGGGCGGCAGATAGAGTCCCAACTTACCCAGTGGGCACGTCTCCCCCTCGCAGAACCGTCCTCGTAACCCCAGAAATAACGAGCCATAATCTGGTCAATCTCGTCAAGGGTAGACCTAGGGGGGTCGAGGACCATAAACAAATGAATCGGAAGGGAGCTAAGAGTTCTCTTGATCAGCGCTAGCCGACCACCGAAAGAAATATGTCTATGCGACCAACCAGAGATCCTGTCGATCATCCTCTGCCTGACGCCCGCAAAGAGCGCTCTGGTGAGGTTGCCCTTATATAAAGGGACCCCAAGGTAGATAATGGGAAGGTCGCCACACGCAAAGCCAGTAATGTCGTGGACCCGCTGAGCCCACCTGTCCGCGGTGGAAGAGAAGAGGGTGAAGGTGCTCTTCTGCACACTGACCAGCTGACCGGTGACCGAGCCATAGTGCTCCAGAAGGTGCATAAGCTCGACCAGTCCATCATCATCCGCCCGGGTGAAGATGATGATGTCATCCGCATAAGAGAGGTGAGAGATGGTAGGACCATAGCCACGGGTGCTATAGGTCATATGGGGGAAGTCGCGGATGAAGCCATCAAGGCAGCGAGAGAGGTAGTCCGCCGCAAGAACGAAAAGGGAAGGGGAAGGGGGTCGCCCTGTCTAAGGCCTCTAGAGGAGGGGAAGAAGTCGGTGTGGCTGCCATTAACCAGGACCGAGAACGTGCAGTGCTCCACACACGCCTCCACAAAACTGATCCAACGTTCAGGAAATCCCATCCTAGCCAGTGCCTCCCTAAGAAACGGCCACTCAACCCTATCATACGCCTTAGCCATGTCTAGCTTCAGCGCGATATTCGGAGCCCGCTTTCAGTCCGCACAGGAGATGTCGTGGATCATCTCCTGGGCCAGAAGGATGTTATCACTAATGACCCGATCCTTGACGAAGCCACTCTGGTTCGGAGAGATGAGGGAGGGGAGAAGGGGTGAAAGGCAGTTGTTAAGAATCATCGAAATGAGCTTGTTGGTCACGTTACACAGACTAATGGGCCTGTAATCGGACCAAGAGCTCGGGTTGGGTCTTTTGGGGATCAAGACAACAGAGGTAGACGTGAAGGAATCCGGCATCCGGTGAGCGGAGAAAAAATCCAACATTGCCTCCTCGACGTCAGGCTTGACTACATCCCAGCAAGCCTGGTAGAAGAGAGAGGAGAATCCATCCGGGCCAGAAATGCTGTTGGGATCAATCCCGAAGACAGCATCCCTAACCTCCTCCCTACTCGGTAGCTCACAGAGACCAATGAGATCGACCGAAGGAGGGATGGTGGGGAAGAAAGAAGTGATGGGGCCCACGAGGGACGCTCTTTTGTTGTTAGGTTAGTTGTTTGTTGTTGCTAGGTTAGTTGTGTTTTGTTGCTAGGTTAGTTGTCTGTTGTTGCTAGGTTACTTATTTCTTGCTGCTAGGTTAGTTGAGTTTTGTTGCTAGGTTAGTTGTCTTAAGTTGCTAGGTTATTTCTTTCTTGCTGCTAGATTAATTGTCTTTTGTTGCTAGGTTAGTTATCTATAGCTGCTAGGTTAGTTGTGTTTTGTTGCTTGGTTAGTCGTCTGATGCTACTAGGTTAGTTGTATTTTGTTGATAGGTTATTTCTTTCTTGCTGCTAGGTTAGTTGTCTGATGCTGCTAGGTTAGTTGTATTTTTATTGCTAGGATATTTCTTTCTTGCTGCTAGGTTAGTTGTCTTTTGTTGCTAGGTTATTTATTTCTTGCTGCTAGGTTAGTTTTCAACGGGTCAACGCCGGGAGTCAACGATATTCGCCGGAAGTCAACAGTGAACGCCGGAGTCAACGAATAATTATTTTATTATTTAATTAATGTATATTTTAATTGATTTTGATCTAGACAAAATGAGTGGCTAAGATTGAGTCTCACGTACTCATTTTAAGGAGTGGTCTTATTGGATCCGTCCCCTATATATATATATATATACTAGCAGGCCTTCGCCGTGCACAGCACGGCCGGCCCACGTTAGAACTTTTCTTTCGAGCGAATAGATTATCTTTCGTAATTGAAAAATAATAAGAAATAATAATAAAAAAAAGTAATACATTGAAACCACAAATAAATGATTTGTCACTAACTATACCACATTGATTAGTGTATGTCACGAAAACCGGTTCGCTCAGCCAGTTGTCACACTTCTTCATGTTAGTCGTCCAACATGTCCACACACTCCTAGTCCACTCCTTCGCTCTCGAGGATGACCTCCACTCTGCGAAAACCCGCACTGTACCCCCTCGAACCCTTGATGAAGACCACCACTTTGTTTTCCTACCAGTTGGTTGCACGTGACATGGGTCAGCCGCAAGTCGGCCTTTTTGCATGGGGCATATCTGACCCATGTCTGGGTTCATTTCCAGAGTGTAATTTGTACCAGAAAGAGCCTCTCTTGAAGCAAGAGTCAATATATCAGAACAAGAAACGGTTAACGGGCAGCTTTTTTGACGTTAGCTTTTATGGAGTCGATGACTTCATATCCGCGGGCTGAGTTCAGATTGGGGAATGCGTTTTTCTCTCCAGTGAAGGCGCTGTTACTATCCAGTAATATCGACCCATCACGTCCCTACACACAAAATAAAAATAAATACAAATGGTGTGACAATAAAAACACGAAAGTCGTGCAAGTGGACAATCAAAATAATCTGAAATAGAAGGAAAAAGGAAAATGCATCTTTTTGATATGTAGTTCACGAGGATGAAAAAAGATACCCATCCATGAAAATGTACAGCAAGATTTAATGCCGAGAAAGCCACAGAAACTGGTTCCTGATTACAATTTGAAACGGTCAATAACATAAAATGGAAAAATGGTAACATGAACTGATTAAGACTGTCAAAGAAACACCTCTTTTTTTTCCATTTACTAAACCTGGATCCCGTAAATGCGCATAAATGGCCACTTCCCATGGTACTCTACAGGCCTGTAGCCATGTTTTTGTCTTTCATCTTCTCGAGAGAATAACGACAGTCACCACAACAGTCCCGTTGCTTCCACTGAACATTAAGCGGATCCTGCAGATACCATGGCCCATCAACGGGAGTTCCACCAGATGAAAAATTACAGTGTTGAAAGAATTTGTTGCCCACACATCCTGTCTTTTCAATCTAGTGAAAGAAATCTCAAAATAAATGAAGCAGCGGAAAAAATAAAAAGCATGAATTCAAAAGAACAATACTGAGAAGAAATTTGTTCTCACCTTCCCAATCGGAGTCTTCTTGATAAATTTTCAGCGACGGCGCACCAAATCAGCGTCTTAGGAACTAAAATTCGTCCCTGTCCTCGCCAGTGAAGCACTTCGACATGCCGACATCCGAGGCACCTGCGTGGGAATCGGAATCGGACCGTGAGCGGAGAGATTAGGGTTTCAAGATTGGAGAAATGGAAGAGTGGAGAAGCATCCAGATGAAAAAAATTTGTTTAAATCTTCGGGCAGAAGGGAAATGCAAGTGACCACGACAAAACGACGTCGTTTTGATCATAATTTTTTTTTTTTTTTCTTTTTACAAAACCAAGAGGACACCATGGTGTTTATATGGAGAAAGAAATATGTCAGAAGGTAATCGTTAGCTGTTAAAACTAAAATACCAACAAGGGCTCCTAACGAATTCTACCTTGTTCACCCCTAGCTTGCGCTGCATCACATATTTGTTTTGTGATGTCAAAAAGTGTTAGTTTTGATGCGGCCACCTCTTCAGCAAGAATAACCTGCAACAATGATAAAAACTCTAAAAAAAAAACATAGAAAAACTCAAAGTATCTAGAAGAGTCTCTATTTCATTAGACTATCAATGAGGAATCGAAGTACAAACCATATTGGGGTGAGATTAGAGTGTACCAGATGAACATCGATAACAGAGCAGTAAGAAAAAAAAGAATCATACATATATCTATTACAATCTGGAATGTAGACTCACAATGTCCAAATAACTCTAGTTGGGGCATGGCGGTGTTATCATACTGCAAGCGATTTTCCTCCACAAAATCCGCGGATTAATGTGTTTCCGTTATTGTCTCCTCCTAGCATCTTCCTGTAAAACATACTCTAAGACATTATATTTTCAACCAATTCACAATAAGTAAAAATATCCAGTTTTGAAGAGTCTAATTAAAATATGAAACTTTTAGCAGGAAAAAATGCGCCAACTCACAATATGTGATTTCTAAGTATGAGAAATCTAAATAAAAGATGTGATTTTTATTATAAGGACAACACATTTCAAAGCATGTATGGTTTTAGTTCAACAAATGCCCAAACAAAAATGAATGAAATAAAGCAACAAACACAATCAGAACACCAATGCAAGCAGCAATTTCAAATTAAATCCCGCCAATCCGATATTCAATTGAACTTTCTTCTACTTTCATCATTGATAGACTTCACTCACCATTCATCACCACAAAATTTAACACCAGCTTGCAAATTTGCAAAACTCAAGGACTCAAAATNAAAAGGATCTACTCTCAAGTCTCAACTAAAAACCCACAGATAAGAAAGGATCACATGAGTTAAGACTCACACAAATCACATGATAAAGCGCGCACACACACACACACACCAAAACAACAAAAACAAAGACAAACTCAACCAAACACAGCTGGGGTTTTTCAAATACCTAATTCTTGGATGGATAAAGATCCAAAAAATCACAATTGTTTTTATAGGTGACTTTGAGCTGGGGTGACGGTGTTGACTTTGGGTTGGGGTCACGCGATTTATCAGGTGATACCTCGTCTGCGTCGGTCTCCTGCTCGGAAAGGGCGAAGTCCAGGTCGAAGTGTGGCCCACCCTCGCTGTTAGAGGAGTAAGAACTTTTGGAAGCGGTGTGGTCGAAGACGATTTTGGTGGCGGCACGCGCGTCGGAGATGGAGTCTATGGCGAAGATGATGGTGGTGCCGGCACCAGAACCGTCAGCAGTTGACGCCGATACTTGAGTAAGCTGAAGTTGACGGTACTTCAGTTTTCTTTTGTACCAGTACAAAGCGGCGAGCTGTGGTGGAGGGGGATGCGAGTGTTGGGGGTTGTGTTTGCAAGCTGCTGTAGCAAGGCGGTGATGGATGGGTCACGGAACCGAGGAAGACAGAAAAAAACTAAGACCGCCTTTACGAAACAACGTCGTTTTTATTTTTGGACGACGTGGCCTAATATTAAGAGACGGGACACGTGTCAAAAGTAGAGGCTAGCACCTTCTTTTTATAGATAAGAGAAAGAAGATATATATATGACATCAATGGGTGCAGCCATACGACGAATCATTTATTTAATTAAAAAAAATAAGTGGTCAAAAATAAATCAACAAAAATTTGTCTGGAAAAAAATAAAACAGGCGGATTCTGAGAATCCGTGTTTCCTTAAAACACGGATTCTGAGAATCCGTTTTTCCTTAATTCCGAGCAAAAGACGGATTTTCAGAATCCGTCTTTCCTTAGTGACTTGATTAACCCTAATTAATTCAACCAAACACGTTTTATAAATATCCGTGTTAGGTAACACGGATTTTGAAAATCCGTTTTACATTATAACACGGATTCTTAGAATCCGTATTTATTTATTTATTATTTATTTTTTTTCATTTTTTTTGTTATAGCACGGATTCTTAGAATCCGTGTTTATTTATTTATTTATTTTTTAAGTTAGGGCTCGACTCTTAGATGCCACGAACTCGTTTACCAGCGATCGCGTTTATTTTGGGTGAATTTTTATTCTTATCCTTCAATATGAAGGTTTTTTATAAATTTTGATTTAACATTTTGAACACGAAATAATATCACTTTAATATCAATTCATTCGTCAAATAATAATCTAGCATGCATACATACACGAAACACTATATACAAAAAGTCAACCACAATTACCGATAAAAAAAAAAGTGAACCACAAAATATGTACACAAAACCATCAAGAATAAATATCTGAAAATCCAGTACAAAAAATAAAAGAAAAGAAGAAAATATCCACAAAATCACAGAATACAACACAAACTAACTAGGAGTATATGTTTTCTTAAGTTTGCATATTCGGGACCCTCTCCGAGGCCGTGGTACCGAAGAAGACGATGTTGCGGTCGGTCCAGGCGTGGCGTCTTCTTCTTCTTCTTCACTTAATTAATTAAATTTTGTAAAAAATCAGTAATTCGACCGGACAAATAAATAAAAACAAACAAAAAAATATATATATTTGTAGTTAAGTAAAAAAATCTCACCTTCTTCGTCTTCTTCATTCCCGGGGAATGCAGCGGCGAGTTCGCGGTCACGACGTCTTCTCCCTCCACCAATGTGGGGCGCCGGTCTATGCCTCGCCCGCTGGGACTGTATCTGCTGGGGTGGGCCGTACTCTTCTTGAGATAGAATTTGCCCCGACGACGCCCCTTGTGTGACCGACTGGCCCCAACTGTTAGAGAAGCGTACAGAAGTTCCTGGGCTTGCTGGAACCCTTCCTGCGCTCGGGGAGGTAGCGTATCAAACATGTCTTGAATGTTCGATAGCGTGTTATATGCCCCCTCCGTACCCGAATTCTGAAAATAAAATTCAAATAACTATTATGAACAACTTAAAAAAAAATAAAATAATATTAATAATAATAATAATAATAATAATAATAATAATAATAATAATAATAATAATAATCACAAATTACCAGACACTTACCTGACACTTCTCCCGGTCGGCATATGGCTGAAACCCGCCGTCCTGTGAGATCGCCGCGTAGTTGTTAGGGTCACTGAATAGTCTCACAGTCCTACTGTGATACCATTCAATGTACCCCTCTGCCGGCTGCAGGAAGGGATCCACCGGTAAATCTGGGAGGACATTCTAATCTCTCTCGTCGGTCCAGATCCTCTCAAGATCAGAATAGAAGGCCCGCCAATCGGTATTTGCCCTCCCAGTCATGCCCTGGCCTTTGTGGTGGGTGTCTCAGTCAGCCAGACACGTAATGATCGGCGTCTGGGGGATGGGCTGGTGACACCCAAACTGGCGGACTCCGATGTTCCAGCAGAAGATCCACCCCTTATACATCCAGAGATGTCGGTCTCGTGTACACTGGTCCGAGAGCCGACCATCGTGCATGTACGTCTGATAGGGTATTCAATCGAACTGTAAAAAAAAACCATTTATAGAATTATTAATGAATTTTTTTTAAAAAAAATAGAATTAAAAAAAAATAATTATTTATTATTATGACCTAAGAAACTTACATCAATCTCTCTCAGGCCACTCAGCTGATCTCGGATGGTAGCCGTGCCCGTCCCCACGTGCCTCAAGTCCCTCGATCCCACCCACCTTAAAAATCACAGAAAAAAACTATTTGTAATTACAAAATTTGATAATTGAAATAACTTAAGTGTTAAATATAAATAAAGGTTATTATTGCCTTGCACCCAAGGGACAACCAGCCTGAGAACCGAAATGCGTTCTCTACATGAATGGGCGAATACGAGGGATGTGTGCCCATGCCCAAACATGCACATATGGACATATACATTTTTTAGCACATATTATTCTAATTTATAATAAATAAAATTAATTTGCAATTAACAAGTAATTAAATTTACCTGAATCAACTGCAAGCAGCTCTTGATATATTTTCTTCCCTCTCGTAGGCGTCGCAGAGCGCTCTATATACCCCGGCCAAAAGCGCTCCACCCCAGCTGTACCCCGGAATGGCATCGATGTCAGTCAATAGGGACAGCCAGTAAAGGTTGACTCCGTTGGCCCGATGGTCGGGGAAGAAGAAGGACCCAATACACCAGAGTATCAGAGTCTCGCCCTCCTCTCGTACTCTGATGTATGGAGTCCATCCTCCAGTGGTCGCTTGCACTCGTCTTCCAAACTATTAAAATATAGGTACTGGCCTGAAATGTCCCAAGTCCTGGGGTCGTAGGCCGGGTCCTCGAGATCCTTGAAATACGTTTATATATGTATTAAAAACGACTCATGACTTAAGTATACATAAACACAATAATAAAGAAAAAAAAAACAAAATAAGCAAAAAAAAATGTTTAGGTAAAAATATACCTGTACATATGAGAGGTATCCTAGAGCGACCACGCAATAGTTTCTCCACTCTTGGGGAGTCCGATGTACGGTGTGTCCCCAGCACGCATCCCCGCTGGCGAGGAGAACAAATAGTATCTGAACGTCCTGGAGAGTGATCGTGGCATCCCCGAAGTCGAAGTGGAAGGTGTGCGTCTCCCGACGCCACCTCTCCAGCAGGCATGTAATGAGGGCATTGTTGTCTGGATCCGCTCCATCCGAAACAAAGGCCCGAAGCCGGCCTTCTCGATCACCTCCCAGGTCCGGGCATTCTACTTGTTGCCCTCCAAGGCAACCCAGACGGTGTGGCTTAACCACGCCATGACGAAACCCGGTGCGACCTCATATACCGCCTTGGACCAGTGGCGGTTCTGAAGATATAGAAGTGAGGGGTCACTGGGGCCGGGATGTGGGGTGTAGGGTTTAGGGTTCGAGGATGACGATGCCATTTTCTGCAAAAATGACCGAGATTGTAATATATGTTACTTTTGAACAGACACTCTTTGAACAATTTTCTCCAACCTAAACCTCACTTTTGACACATTCCACGTCCTCAGGTGCATTTTTTCTCCATTACAATTCTGATGTAGGGAATAGTTATGCATTTTTAAGAAAAAGGAAAAAAGAGAACGAAAAAGACAAGGACAAGTTCAAACATAACTTGCACGGAAATT